CAAATGGTGTTAGGGATAGTCAGCAGAAGCAAAGTAATCTGACTTTGATTCCTCATGTTTGTATCCAGTCCTTTTAGATATACAGGAAAGGAATTATTCAGAATATCACTATATTAAAAAAAAGAAAAGCATGCAATCTGCTATGATACCCAAAAGGCAATGCATTACAGAAGAAAATATTTAAAAGGAGGAACAGCTAGGTGTGGTGACACATGCCTGTAACCCAGAACTCGAGAGGCTGAAGCAGATCACTGAGAGTTAGAGGCCAGCCTGGACTACAAAGTGAGTTCAAGGCCAGCCTGAAATGCATAGCGAAACCCTGTCTCAAAAAGAAATAAACGAATGAATGAATGAATGGAGGAACAAGGTAGGATGCCTTCTCTACTGAGGAAAGCAGAATAGGAAATGGGCTTAACCTGCAGAATTGACTTAAAAACCTGAAAGATGTCAAACTTTATCAAGGGTGAGGGATGAGAAAATCATTTCTGTAGTTAAAATTTAAAACTATACAACCTCGACTGCATTTTATTAAGCCATATTTCCCTGCTTGGTCATCCTCTCAACTAAAGGTCTCAGAGTACTTCCTTACAAGAAGGAGCCCAGAGAGTGACAACTACATTTCATTAGAAAGTAATGCTTTCCCAGGCTACTCTTTTCAGTATATAGAAGTAAGACAGACCAAGGTTCTTGGTGGAGAAACACCACCTTGTAGTTTAGGTCAAGGTCTGCTAGAGACCTGGAAGATGAAGACAAAAACCTCTCATGCTTTAGTCTTTTATCCAAAGAGCCCGCTGTGCAGAAACTCAAGCCACAATGAGCTATGAATTTGATCTTTCCTGAAATGGTTTTAAAGCTCACACAAATTACACCTCCACAGTTAGGTCAAAGTTGGCTATATTATTTTTTTTTAAAAAATGACAGTAGTTACTGGTATTTGACAGAACAATTCACTAACTTACTGTAGATGTTCGTTACCCATGTACTATTCTGGATATCTGGAAAGTGTGAATTGTGAAGGCATTTAACTCTAATGCGAATCAAGTATCAACATCATTAAGGTTCCTCGAACCGCTTCACCCCCTTTTCTTCGCACCTCAATCCAAGCCACTTTCCTAGGTTTCTTCGCATTTTATGGTCATCTGTATTGGAACATTCCTGTTTAAGCAGTGCTGTCCTCTGGCACCTGTTTATCCTTGTGTTGGAGAATTTTACTCATTATATCTAAATTCAAGGCCAGGGTCTCCTCTGCTTCCTTTCTACTTCTCCCCAGCGTCCACTAGTTAGCCAGCGGGTGCGCCGCTCCACTACTCATTCATCCAACAAACCCTGAACACCTAGGTTGTGAATGTAGTGCGTGGGGCTGAATGTTTGGGGTAAAGGCCTTCCAAGGATCCCCATAATAAATGGCCTTGTCCCTAAAGCTCATTCAACCTTTCAGTTTTCAGTAAACGCTACGGAATGACTGGAATGAACATTTTAAGGCAAATGGTGAGCTACCAATTGCCCCCTCCCCTCCCCTAAAACACATGCCATCCATCACTTCTTTTGTTTTTAATTAAACGATTTAAAGAACCTTCTTCGTCACAACTATCAGGCCGAGGAAGGGCAATTCAGGAATGAAAACGGAAGCTTCGTAAGCTCCAGAAAAATGACAAGTGATCCTAGTCCAGCCCAGTGCCCTAACGCCCCGCTCCCAGCACCAACGGACTCCCCGCGGCAGGACCCTCTCCCCGCGGCAGTATCCTCGCTCCTCGCCACCTATCGAGCGCAAGCCCGGGCCTCGGGGTGCTGTCTCGGCCGCCGGCCCAGGCGAGGCCTCGCTCGACCTGCGGAGCTCGGCGGAGGCCCCGGGCCCGCGCCCTCTACAGCTGCCCGGCGCGGCTACTCACTGCCCATGGCGGCGGCTGGGAAGGCTCAGCGGGGCACCGCGGCCTCGGCGCTGCCGTCCTCAGCTCCCGCAGGCCCAGCCTCCGTGCCGCGCCGGCTCCGGTCACGCTCCCGCCGGCCCCACGCAAGCCCCGCCCACATCACATGATCAGCCCCCTCCCCTCTCCGCCCGGCCCCACCTCCAGACTGGGCTCTGGCGGTTGGCCGACAGCCGCCGCGTTGCCATGGTCACTGCCTGCGCTGCTGAGGGGCGGGCCTGGGCGTCAAGGGGCGGGGCTGACCTGAGCCTGTGGGGGTGTCTCGATCTGGCCCTGGAGCCGGGTGCGAAGGCCCTAGCTGCAGTCGGGTTATCCCTGCACACCGCGAGAGGGAGGCATGAGGGTGACGAGTTTAAGCCCCAACCTGGGTAATTTAGAAATTTATTGAGAACTGATCTCAAATTTTTAAAAAAAGGCGGAAGGGGTCTGAGGATGTAGCTTAATGCAAAGGCCTTGGGTTCAGTTTCAGTCCCCATTAATAAAAATCCTCCCAGGTACTGAAGGCCTGGGGTTGAGGCACCTAGATATTTTTATTTGTTCCATCTTACTGTAGGCTCTTGGAATTTTATAAAAATATAACATATTGTATATAGTTAATACCTTATGAAACTCCTGCCCTACTATAAATAATAAAATACTGTAATTTATATCCAATGATGTATTCTAATATTCAGATCTACATCAAAGAAGTAAATTATATATTTTCTGGGTCCAAGCTCTAATACCTCCATATAGTTCCTCCATGGGGCCTGGGCTTCTTTTTTTTTTATTTTTAAATTTTAAAAATAAAAGGAGGAAAACATTAACAGACAGACAACATTTTACAAAATGGCAAAAGAACAGTACAGACAGTACGGAGTTACAAACAAAGTGGTAGGGAATTAACAATGCTTGTTGTTTTACATATTGGTATCTTCAAAGTGGTTTCTCATGAAAACAGATATAGACCTGCAATGCTGATCAACCAAGGACTCATTGACAGTTTCTTTCAGCAAAGAAATACAAGACAGTAGAACAGCCATGTTAACTATCCTACATATACATACATACAAACTTTCTCCTTTCCCTTCTTTTTTCCCACATCTGGCCTGGGCTTCTTTACAACATGGTTGCTGAGTGCCAAGGGATGTCCTGGAAGTGACCCCTTTGCAGATAGACAGGAAGGTCTGCTCAACTTCCAGGGAGAAAGACATCACCTCTAGGGGGAGGTTTCTGGGAAAAACTATGGACATTTTTGGAAAACACAATTTACTACAGTGACAATCTCCCGCCCTTCTAAACTCATCTTTACCTCACTGTACTTTGTGTTAACTTATTCTGCCATTGGCAGTGGCAAAATGACTCTGCTTTAGACTGTGTTTTATCAGATTTAAATGAAAACATGATAGCAAATAATTGTTTCCATGAAGTAACTCTGGAGTTATTTCTGTAATACTGTGTTATATATTAAGGATTTAAACATTTTGTCTGTGTTATATATTAAGGATTTAAGCATTTTACCCCACAGTGATTGTTTCAGCCTGGATCTTATAAGTTGAAAACCAAATGTCCAAGTCCGTTCAATAAAAATGTAAGTGAAGCTTTTGAACCTCGACATCTGAAAGTCTTGATTCATAATCTGTGACTTCCTTCCTTTGCAACCCCTTATTTCTTCAATTTTGGGAATATTGTCAGTTGTCAGTCAAGTGATTTTTTTTTTTTTTTGCCTGTGCTGGGAATTGAATCAGGGCCTCATGTATGTTAAGCAAGAATGCTACCACTGAACTATGTCCCCTATCTTGCGTTTTAACAATAGTAAAAATAATACAGGAAAATGAAAGAAGTCTGTTTCAGTGTATTTTCCCAAATACTATGCATATGGAAGACATAAGAAAATTGAGCAAAATGGTCTTTCCCAGAATAAAATTTTATTTTAATGAGTAATGTGTCATTTAAAGAAAATTAACATTTTTCCATAGTTGCTAATATTTTGACTTACTGATAATCAAATTTAAGCTCTATTTTTCTTTGAATACAACACCGTTATAGATATAGGTAATAGATATAAATGGGATACAAATATCACAGTAAAGTTTTAAAAAGAATAAAGTAAAATATGGCAATGTATTGATTTGTTTCATGGTGCTGCTAGTAGAAAGGTAATGCATATTGGATTGGAATTCTTCAAATGGCTCCTTTCTGCAAGGGGCACAGATGTGACTGAGAGGAAGAAGGTTAAAATGACAGGAGATGTGCCTCTTGCCTGAAGCTGGAGAAGATGTAACAGGCAATCATAAACTTGTGAGGTATAAAGTTAGAAATAGCTAAACAAAACGTTTTTTAACACAACTCTTCCATTTCATTTGTAGTTAGACATTTAAAATTTTTTGATTCAAGAAACCAAAACTTCTAAGAAAAAATGGCATTATGCTTTTATTTTTTACTAAAAATACAACATTGATAAACACTGTAATTAAATAGACCTTCGTAGTCTTACCGATTTATATGAGTGATGAAAAATTATATGATTTTTAAGGTTTAGAGACAAGGAGAAAGCATTGTGGTAGACAGAAGGAGGAGGGAAGAGAGTGACGTAGAAATGCTAAATCATTATACTGACATACACGTTGAAGATGCAAACCATGAATCTACTGCTGTAGCCAGAACAGCCCACATGTTAATTTTGAAGGACACAGCCAGTAGCTGGTAAAAGCAGAGAGGAAGTGGGTATGTTCTAGACCCAGTAAGTCCTCTCACTTCTCAGAAAAAAAATGTCATCCCACAAGAATGAGAGCTGGTGGAGGCTCCACGTTACCAAGTCCAGTAAAGCTACACAGTTTGCTATTCAGTTAGGCATCTAGCCTCAGGTTTAATAGAATGAGTCCACTGGGGATCTCCAACACCTAGCACTGGGAAAGTCTATCAAAATGAAAGTGCTGTTTAAATAGCACAAATAAACATATCGCAGCTGGGAGTTTTAGAGGCAAACTGATTAACCAGATGCCGAAATTCCCATACCAGACACCAGTCAGTTAAAAATTATAAGGTAGGATTGCAAGAATAATTTGGAAAAAAAAAAAAAAAAAAATAGTAGGATTGCAAGAATAATTTGGAAAAAAAAAAAAAAAAAAGATTATGGCCAAATAGATGATAAATCAATTTAGCTAAAACTCCTTAATTTAAAAGTGTAGGGGTATAAGATCATACATTCTGAGACTGTATTTAATAATATTGCGGAACCAGTACTGAACCACATGGAAAATGCTCTGCATCAAGAAGTTGGAAGGCAACCAACTTTATTACATCAGTAGGCTGAAGGGGCATTGCTTCCCACGCATCAGTGCAGAGCTGACTTTGGGCTTAGTTTGTAAGCAGGAAGTACAAAGGCTTAAAGGCGCTGTGAATTTTTATTGGGTAGCATCAGTTATTTTTCACTGATGAGCAAAAAGTTTTTAAAACAAGTTAGCAAACGGTGGTATTTTGGGGGGCAAGAAAGTACAGGCTGTGCAGCTGTGTGTGGTCAAACTGAGCTGGGTCAGGTTATCTCTAGTTTGTAGCTGGGTGTAGTCAGTCAAGGCTGAATGAGTCTAACAGACGAGCTGTGTGGTGGGCTGCATGATGTTATTTTGTCCTAATAATGGTGTAAACTACTAGTTGATTCGAATTTTTAAAAATTTCCATCACAATAGCACCTAAGTTTAAGATCAATATACACATCAGGGGTAATCTAGCTTTGGTAGGGTTCGTAGAACATTTACTACAGTGGCTAGAAAATGGCACCAGAGAGGACATAAAATGAAAACATTGGTAGCCACAAGACTTTGAAAAAAAGGGGAAGAATTAATGAAAGGTATACACATCAAACAAATATAGCTGTAGTAATGACATCATCTATATAGGACTCTAAATTCTGGCTAAAGAACTTTTCCTGGGCATGTGTGTTTCATTCCAGTGGACCCTGTAATCATCAGGCTAATGACCTAGTTCCCCAGCTCATTCAGATCTAAACAAAAGGTAATGTTGTTCTTCTTTTAAGGATAAAATTTACTTGTCTGATTCATGCATTCATAACCAGCTTCCCTGTGTATTCCTCTCATACCAATCTCAACATCTTAAAGAAAGACAGAGTTTTCACATTACCCAGGGGGAAGGGGACAGGGCAGGGGAAGCAGGCCTTTGTCTCTGGCTGTTTACTTATCAGGAACAGTCTTTCTTCAAAGGACTTCATCAAGAGAAGGTCTTGGTGAGGGTATCTTCGTGCTGCTGCTGGTGCACCGTCCCAATTCCTACCGCGGGTGCTGGCAAGGGCGGCCGGCTCACAAGACAGAGCTGTCATTGGAGCAGAGAAGAAATCAAATGACATTTTGATTGGATAAGAGCTCTGCTTCATTCCACCGAGAAGGTGCATCTATTCCTTTTAACTTGTCTGACTGGAAATCACCTCTCTGGTAAAATAATGAGCTATAGAGAATAGGTTAGAGAGAAATACATGTTACTACTACCACTAACAAATTCTAGGCAGGATAAAGTGAAACAAGTTATTTCTATTTGTCCTATATGTAAGTAACTATCAGTTGGTTTTCACTTTAGAGTTTTTTTAGTTCTTTTAGTTTTTTTCATGTGAAAATGATCTGAGCCTATCCAACTAGTATCAAATGAATGAACTGACTCAGGAGCCTGAGGCAAGAGGATCTTAAGTCCGAGCAACACAGGAAGAAGCTATTGCCAAAAAAAATGGAACCAAGTTTTAATCAAAGTAGCACAAAGATGAAGTTCTTTTTTTGTTTTTCCTTCCTAAAGCAAATCAGAAGTTTATCAGTCTTTGATGTACATAAGCCTTGTAAAACAAGCCTACTCACTCATCACCCTGCTTCTCTGGCGTCTGAATGAGGGACCCCAGGAAGGTAGTGGGCAGAGGAGCCAACAGGCAAGAGTGTTTGCTTTCTAAGTATTACTAATTAGAATATTACAGGTTGAACATTCTCAGTCCAAATTCTGAAATGCTCCGAAGTGCAAAACTTTTATAGTATCAAAATGACACTCAGTAATTTTCAGTTTTTGGAGCATTTTGGACACAGAATTTAAGGATACTTAGTCAATAACATCTTTGTGAACAGTCCTAAGTCCAAAATGCTCAGATATCAGAAATCCTTGTGGTTCCAGGCATTTATATAAAGGATATTCAGCTTGTAGTATGTATATATACACAGCTCCATAGACACCCAGGGTTTCCTTCTAAAGGAATACAGCGGTGCTTCAGTTTACAAATGATATGTTTGACGATTCTGGGGAAGATAGCAGCTGCCTTTGTGTTTGTGTGGGGGAGATGGCTGTGGTTGTGTTTGTCACTAGATGCAGAGTTTGCAAGTGGAAGCAAAAATTTGCCAAACACATTTGTTTGCAAACCAAATTGTTTGCAAAAAGAAGCATTCATAAACTGAGGTATTACTATAGTTTAAAAGTTTTCTTTTTTTTCTTGTCTTTGAGCAAACGTCTTGCTATATTGTTCAGGCTATACTGAACTTATGGGCTCAAATGAGCTTCTTGCTCCAGCCCTGTGAGAAGCTGGGACTACATGAGTACACCACTGTGCCTGAGTTACAGCTAGATTTTGTGTTTTTATCTTTAAAGAGCTGAACTGGTAATAGAAACCCACCTGTTGGCACTCCAGGAAAAATAACACACACACACACACACACACACACACACACACACACACACACAGAGAGAGAGAGAGAGAGAGAGAGAGAGAGAGAGAGAGAGAGAGAGAGAGAGAGACCACTATAAGAAAGAGCTATTACCTTGCAGGCCAGTTGCTTTTCAAATCTTGGAGAAATGAAAAACCATGGACCCATGTTCTGGGGCTCCTCCTGGCTCCAGATAAAATCTATAAAAAATTTATTCCAGTACCTTAAGTAAACATGTATACCAAACCAAATAGGGGTGGGTGGGAGGGTGAGGGTGACAAATGGATGAATAGATAAGTGGCTAGACAGAAAGTTATCCAACCTCCATTAAATACATACTTTCCCAATATGGCACAGTGTTGCTTGTCTTTTTTTCTAATAAATGCATAGTCAGGTACCAACCCATCCAATCATGATACAAAACAGTTGTATTAATAACCTAAATTTCCTCATCCTGCCGCTTTATAGCCAATTTCCCTCCCACCCACTTGCAATCACAGATCTCTACCTCTATAGGTAGAGCAGGGGAAGCAGGCCTTTGTCTCTGGTAGTTTGCTTATCAGGAATAGTCTTTCTTCAAAGGATTTCATCAAGGGAAGGTCTGGCATCTTTTAATTAACAAAATACATTTATGATTCATCTATACTGTGTAGTTATTACTCTTTTTTATTGTTGAGTAGTATGATATTGTACCAATGTTTATTGCTTTGGGGAACTATAATTATTCATTCACCATTTGAAGGACATTGTGATTGTTTCCAGTTTGGGGCAGTTACTAATAAAGTTGCTATAAATATGTGAATACAGATTTTTCTGTGAATATATTTTCTTTTCTCTTGGGTAAATACCAAGAAGCGGCACTGCTAGGTTATACAATAAGTTATGGTTAATTTTATAACAAACTGACTTCTCCAGAGTGGCTATAACACACATTCCCACAAGCACTGAGTGAGGTTCATTACTTTTCTTCCCCATCAGTAGTTGATATCATCAGTCTACTGCTTTCTTTTAATTTTAGCCATTCTCATAGCTGTGTAGCCATATCTCATATTGGCTTTTCTTTCTTTCTTTCTTTCTTTCTTTTTACCATTAATGAAGTTGAGCATCATTTCAATTGTTTATCTGCCATCCAGTTCTTTGGAAAAGTGCCTTTTCAAAGATTTTGAACATTTTGAAAACTGGATTATTTGTTTCTTATTGTTGAGTTTTAAGAGCTCTTTACAGTATGATAGATAATTCTTTGTTGATATGTATTTGCAAATATTTCCCCCCAATTTGTGGTATGTCTTATTTTCTTTACAGCATTCTTCACAACTTAAAAATTTTCATTTTGATAATGTCCAAATTTTCTTTTACAGAGTATATTTTTCATATTATAACTTAAGAACTTTTGCTAACCCAAAATCATAAAGACTTTCTCCTATTATCTTCTAATAGACTTATACTTTTATGTTTTATATTTTAGCCTATGGTCAGTTTTGAGTTAATTTCTATAGAAGGTGTATAAAGATATCCAATATTCCAGCTCCAATTATTGAAAAAACTTACCTTTTATAATTATACTGTATTCCTCACAAAAATAGTATAGCATCACTAACCTCAAAACACTCAGTAAATTAGTTATTTTAGATAAAAGGGGACAGACAGACATGGAAACTGTGACTCTACTCGTCTTTTTCTTACATCCTTGGACTCCATGACATTTGATTTTCTAGTAACTCTTCCTGCCCCACAGCCTCTTTTTAACTGAAACAATAGGTGCTAAATATCTGAATAGGTTCCAGATTTCTGAAATGCAAGGAGCCTCCTAAGAACAACTTTTACCTTTAACATGTTTGTATTTGCTCATCTCTTGTTGTAATGAATCCAATGGGAAAGGGCAGAGTTCTTCTATGCGGATGATGGCAAAGTCATGCTTTTTGGGCCCCAAAGATTCTCTTTGCTTCAGCAGGGCGTAGAAATGTTTGCCACAGCAGAACACAAGGGTCTTGACACTGTAGGGGAGGAAAGGGAAAATGGATGCGGAGGGACTACCCTTAGGAATTATTTTAGAAACAAGGGCAGGCTAATGGCAATGACTTGCTCATGAAGCTGTGGGATCATTTGTAGCTGGGCACAGTCCTCTCTTGTACCCTGGAAAATCCTTCTTTAGCAACCTAAAGCTCCGCAGTTCACTCTAACACACATTCTAATTCCTATTCCACTGACTTAAAGAACTGATATCAGAACAGGGAAGGTTTTCGTCACTTCAGAGTGATGAAACAGTTTGAACTAATTTTCCCTCTAATTAAACTTCCATCCTAGAGCACAGAAACAGAGAAACACATCAAATTACTTTTTTGGATCCACAGATGGGTCACCAATGACTGGTCTAAATGCTGTTCCTGGGGCCATTTCTTGAAGAGTTGACACAGCTGCCTAAGGGAGAGAAAAAGCCACATGTGTATCAACTAGTGGAAAGGAGGATCTTTACCGAAAAATAGCATCAGAATTCTAGGTTAGCACTGCAAGTAAGCACATCGACTAATAAATACCTTCGTGTTTATTAGCTCTGTATAATTCACATTAAAGATACCATTTGCCTATGCCACTCTACATGTGGCACAATATTTTAAGAATTACAATTTCAGTTTGATCATACAATTGTATTATCAATAAAAATATGCTATAATTTTTTGGAACTGAAAATACACTGGAAAATTTATATTGTAAACCAAATCATCTAGGTGATAGTCATTATTTCTGTTTTTAGGGGTTCTTTTTTTGACTAAAATTGATAAGGGAAACCTATCTTGTCAGTACAACTAGGAATAATACATGTCTAATTCTGTAATTATTTCATGAAAATTTAATTGATTATCTCAATTTAAATAAATACTGGAAAAAATAAATAAATACATACTAGTTGCAATAATGGATCAATAACTGATAAAGCCAAGGTTAGAAATTTCATCCTTTTTGCTTTCATCTAATTAGTGTCTCTCTACTCATCCCAAGTGGGAATATAACGCTTTGATTAGGCGACTGTGAGCAGCCATACTGATGGTGGGATAATGTGAAATAACCTAAAGAATGAAACTGGGATCTCATCTTATTGAAAAGTTTCTGCACATCAAAAGAAATCAGCAACAGAGTAAAAAGAAAACCCACGAACTGGGAAAAAAATTTTATCCAACTGCCCCTCAGACAAAGGACTCCTATCTAGAACATATAAAGAATTAAAACAAATCAGGCCCCAAAAATTCAAAGACCCAATCCAAAAATGGGCATCTGAGATGAACACACACTTCTCAGATGAAGAAATACTAATGGCAAATAAATATATGAAAAAATGTTCAACATCATTAGTCATTTGAGAAATTAAAACAACACTGAGATTTCATCTCACCCCACAAAGAATGGCTATCATTAAGAAATCAACCAATAATAAAAAAAAAAGAAATCAACCAATGACAAATGCTGGGGAGGCTGTGGGGAAAAAGAAACACTTCTCCACTGCTGGTGGGAGTTTTGATTGGTGAAACCACTGTGGAAATCAGTTTGGAGATTCCTCATAAAACTAGGATTAGAAGTCCCACTTAACCCAGCTATTCCCCTTGTGGGTATTTTTCCAGAAGAATTAAAAACATCATACCACAGCTCTATATGTGCACCCATGTTTATAGCAGCACAATTTGTCACAGCTAAATCTTGGAAACAACCCAAATGTCCATCAACTGAGGAATGGATAAAAAATATGTGGTATTTCTATACAATGGAGTGTTACTCAGCTGTAAAAAAGATAAACTCAAGGCTTTTATAGGTAAATGGATGCAACTAGAGACCATACTCATAAGTGAAATAAATCGGACCCACAAGTGTAAACATCACAATTGTCTTCCTGGTGTAAGAACATGAAAGAGTAAATAAAACCCAAATGTACAGTAGATAATAAGAAAGGGAAAGAAATTGCTCAAAGGGAGGAACAACTGGGATGAGGGAAAGAAGAAAAAGAAAGTACTGTGGCATTTTTATATATATGGATCGGTGGCATAACTGTACTGCTGGTTTCTGATGGTTTGTTGAGGGGAACAGTTCATGATTCAGTATTTTTTTCATATTTTGACCAATTTTGCATGCTTATATCTGGTAATCTGAGCAATTTCATTGAAGATAACAATATGTAATATAACAACCACTGTTAATCCCTATCATTTGGTTTGAAACCCCATATCATTTTTAATGTCCTTGCTTAGTTTTGTTTGTATTTTGCTATTGTTCTTTTTTTGTACTATTTTCTTTAACACAAAAATTAAAAGAAAATGAGTAGACATAAGGAAAAAAAGAAAAAGAAAATTAAATATTCAGTGGTTCTTATCCCTAGTGAGGTGTGAGAGAGTTGATCTTTCTCCATTCTAAACTGTAGCCCTTTGTCAGCCTTCTCTTCTGGGAGTCAAGGTTCAGAGTCTGGTGGACAGTGTAGGATTTGGGTACCATGTGACAAGCCATAAGTTTCATGTCTCTATGTCTCAAATTATCTCTGAATAGCCATTGAAAAAAAGGGTTGACTTGCATTCTGATAGGTCGCTTGTATCAAGTCAATTTCAAAAAGAAACCAGAATTCATTAAGAGCCATCCTCATTTTCAATTAGTAAAAAGATTTACATGTTTAATGAAGATACCTGAAGCCCTCTCTTGTATACCTTATATATAAGAGGGGTGGAATATTAGGATCAGAAAATGATTTTTTATTCTTTTTCAAACTCAAAAAGAAATTCTCAATAGTATTTCTAATAGCTCACACAATACTTAGTAATATACAATATTTAACACCCTTTTTAACTCCAGTACATAAATACACCCTTTTCTAGTTATGATTTGAGGAACAGGTGACAACCTTGAAGACACAATGAACGCTGGGGTCAAGAATCCCCAATATAGCTCAGTGGTGGAGAGTTTGCCTAGCAAGGTCCTGAGTTCCATACTAGCACTGAAAAGAAGAAAAGGAAAAGAAAAGAAAAAAATGTATATGTCTTAGAAATGACATAGTGATTTTACATTTTTACTTGGTGCTGTAACATTGTTACAAAATATCTGTGTTAATCAGGTTTGGTGGCTCACAACTAGAATCCCAGCACTCAGGAAGCTGAGGTTAAAAGATTGCCCAGAGTTTGAGGTCAGCTTGATGCACATAGCGCAAGATTAGTCTGAAGTATATATCAAGACATTGCCTCAAAAAAAAAAAAAAAAAAAAAAGGAAAAAGGAAAGAAAAAAAATCTGTGTCAAAAGTCTCTTATCAGAAAAACCATGTTAGAAGGATTACATTAACTTCTCTTGAATGTTCTGTGATGTTCCGAGGCTGCTGAGAACATTGGGTGGGACAGAGTAAGCACACTACTACAAAGGAACTGTTGTTGTTGGAAACCACTGGAAATGTATTTCCTTGATACTGACTACGAGGGCAGGGTCTGGGATGAAACAAAGGAGGTACCTGTGTTTTCATGAGAAACTACATTGAAGATATCAATATGTAATACAATAAGCATTGTTAATTCCCTACCACTCTGTTTGTAACTCTGTAATGTCTGTACTGATCCTTTGCTATTTTGTAAAACGTTGTCGATCTGTTAGTATTTTCCTCCTTTTATTTCTAAAATTAAAAAAAAAAAAAAAAGAAAAGTTGTAGGAGGTGCTAGCTAGTACTGTGGAAGTGCTACCCCTGAGAATGAGGACCTCTCTGCTCCCCTGGCACTGCCAGGAACTTCTTAAAACAAGAGGAAGCAAATCTCATGCAGCTTTTCTCTAGATCCTTCAGTCCCAAACATATACTCTGTCACCTTTGGGAGCTGTATAATGTATTCTTGAACAGCCAAATTTTATATTTCACCTCAGCAGTTGCATCCAAATAAATTCTAATTATAGTAGATGGGATAAATATATGCACGATAATATTTCCTTGAAGGCTATCATTTGAAAACTAGTATATTTTTGTGACTCGAAAAATGTATTATGCACTTAACACTTAAAACAGGTAATCCAAGAATATATGTATTCTTTTAAAGAACCACAACAATATACTGTTACAATATTCATCCTTATTAAACAGGATTTACCTGGATAAGTCATTAAGGAGAAAAAAAGAATCATGCGTGGAGGCTATAGTAGTAGAGTGCTTGCCTACCATGTCTTGGGTTGATCCCCAGCATTACTGTCAATATAGAAGTGCTCAGACTTTTGGACTTTCAAAACATGTTTTTGTTTAGATTAGGATGCTGGTATGATAACAGGTCTGCGTCCTTCATTAGAATGGAAATGAAAGATCATGTTTCCAATTATTTGTAGACGGTTTAAAAAATGAAAACTGAAAAGTCAATTTAACATCTCTCTGTAATTTAGGAATATAAATAGATACAGAAAAGAGAAAAGTAGAATACAGAAAGTGACAAAAAGGGGCCAGGGATACAGCTCAGTGGTACAGTCCTTGCACAGCTGATGCAAGGCCCTGGTTTCCACCCCAGCACTGACAAAAAAAGGCTAAGAGAAAGTCAGGTAGCAGCTTTTTCTACTTACAGGGAACCTGAGTAGTATCTTGGGAGAAGCAACAATGAGGGGTTTTCTGAAGTCCCGCACCATCTGTCTTCTAAGCAGGTGGAAATACTGTGCAGGAGTTGTTGGGTGCACCACAAACATGTTCACAGTGTCGCCATCCACTCCTTCTTCTATGCTGTCACACAGCTGGGAAAGAAAGGCCAGGAATATTCAGATCATTTATTTCAATAATAAAGACTACACACTAGCTGGGGGTGGGGAATGCATGTGTTCTCACTGAGTGAAAGATACTTCTCTCCATTAAAAATACCAGAGGATAAACTCATGACCTGTTAAGTATTAATCAAAGGAGAGCTCCAGTGGCTGTGTCCCTTGGTCCAATTCTGTGCTGTCTAACATACCTGTGCACAAACAGAACTGACAGCAAAAATTATCCAAGAACACATTTAAAAAAGAAAGCACCAACAGAATCTCATTCTCCTTTGTAAAATAAGCAAAATTATAGTTTGTGTGTGTGTGTATGTTTTACAACAAAATCAAAATCAAAGACAGTTAGCAAATAAGGTTGAAAAGTTGGGATTAAGACAATTAAATCTCAGGAGGAAAGGAAAGAGAAGAGGAACTAAAAGAATTAAGATGTGTTATGTGCATGTACCAACTCCCCACAATGATTAATTATGGCAAATATGTGCTAATAAATTTTTTTAAATTAAAAAAAAATTAAATGTCAGAGGATCCTGCTGTGATAGAAAACTGAAAATATGGCTCCTATCCCTCCTTAGAAAGCAATGAAGAGAAAGAAATTGACTTGACAAAGATCGTAAGAATTCTAACTCATACAGTCCAATTTGAGCAGAGGGAGTGAGCAGGCAACCTAGAAAAATAAAGGCGAAATGTGGGGGAGCTCAAGTGACAGATGCCATGGAGCAGGTGGTGCTCTTGGCTGACTGGGGAGCGGGCCCTAGGGGGGGAGTTTGCTACTGAATATCAAAAGAGCAGAAAAATTTGGCAATGAGACCCCCACCCCAGTCTAGCAGAGCTCTCCTCTCCAACTCGAGCCTGGGCCCAACTGTTGTTCCAACAAAGTGAAGTTGGTACCAACTGGGACCAACTGAGCAAAGTGTTTAAGGGACTCACATACACACTATCTGAGCAACTACCAAGCCTCTGAAGACAAAAGGAAACGACAGAGCAATGATGTAAACATCATACAACCAAGTAACTTTATACAGGAGGGGGGACAAGGAAAAGAATAACGCATGCAAAAGATAGTTTTACAGAGGACACAGTAGGATTAGATAAGAAAGGAAAGCACAATGCTAAGAAAAAAGAATGAGAGCCCAAATTTACCATTACAAATCTAATAAATAAGAAACATCAAGAACAGGACAGGACTAAAACCACTGTAAGTGGCATGAAGAAAAAGCTTAATATAATCACAGTGAAAGCAGAAGAAATAAGCAAGCATTTATATAAACAGCAAAGACTCTTCTAAGTACTTTTAATCATTTTTTGCAGGGCTAAAAATAAAATTAGTGATGTAAACAAAGGGCTTGAGACAATTACAGTGAAAGATGAAATTATAGTGGTAATAAGCAGCAAATGCATAAACATCAGCTATTGTTCTAGACAGTTCACACATACTGACTATGCCTCCCAGCAATCCTCACATGGTCTTGCTCATTTTCATATGCATAGAGTCTGCCAAAAAAGGTATACATATTTCAGGAAAAGAGAAAATAGTATGATGTTTTCTCAACAGATGGCGTTACCCTCGTATGGGGGGCCGTAGAGGATGTCATATATCACAGAAAACCCACTACACTGCCGGCCCTTGGGGAAGAGATTGGGAATGCATGTGCAACGGTCTCAATGACTGTATTAGTCAGTGTTTGCGAGAAAACAGATTTAATGCAGGACACAAAAATTTATAAGAGTAGCTTACCATATTTGCCCACACAGTCAAATATAGAAGAGTGACTCATGACTTTTTCATGCCCCAAAGGCCCTATTTATATTCATTCTTACTGAATTATAACAATAGTTATTTATGAGAGAATATTTAAAACATTTTCATGATCATAGATCATTTTATAAAAACACTATCATTACTTGAAAAAATAGTTTTTGAAAGTAAAAATAAAGATTCCTATGTCCTAAATCTAAATATTTGATGCGAGATTGGCCCCTGTATCTGTATCTCTGTTTATGTAAAAAGCTCCCTAAGGGATTCTAAGGATCACCCTTATGCAGGGACCACTGCTCTTGAACAAACAGGAACCATTACTGGTTTTAATTTTTCTGTGGTGCTAGAGATTGAACCCAGGGACTCACACATGCTAGGCAAGTGCTCCAAAAACCATTTTAAACACCCTGAAATTGTGCTGCCATCATATTTGAGCCAAACAATACTGCATTAAATCTGTTTCAATGAAACATTACAATTTTTTACAGTTTAAGGTTCACATGAAACAATCTACCCGTTCAAGAACTTAAGAAGCAGGAAAGCATTTCTTGGAATCCAGAGACTTCCAACATACCTGCAAGAACCGCTCTATTCGACAGGATGAGTGGTCTGGGCCAGCCCCATCATAGCCGTGGGGAAGGAGGACAACAATGCCACTCTGTAGGAGCCACTTGGCCTCTCCTGGAAAGCATGGAGAGAGGGTAAGAAGTCTATGGAGCAGAACCAAGCAGTCTGTGGGGAGTTGCAATGTGAAACAAATATTATTTTGCTGCGTGAGCCTCTAAAACTCTTTCATTACACGCATTTGTCACACCACATGAAGGGGGAAAATATCCATTTTGCTGGGTACAAACCTAGGATGACAGTGCCTGAGGCTTTAATGAGTGGAAGACAAATTCACAGATGAATGTCATGGATCCCTACATGGCATGAGCCACTGAGTTCCCATAGCCACAACTCTAGCAAGAATGGGCAATGTCTCCTTTCCTCACCACAACCAATAACGCAGGCCACTGTCCTCAAATGGAGGGCAAGGGACACTTTAGGATCATCTCTGGAAATGCCAAACATCCAGGTACCTCTGATACTTTTCTTTCTTACAACCACAAAGTTATAGAGAAACGCAACTACTGGAGAGACCTGAGGCAGACATTCAAAACCTAACAGTGGGAAGCCCCAGAAAACTGGACTGAGGACCTAAAGAATGCCTTAGACCTTTCCTTCATGCACACTGAATTTTTATAGGAAGCACGTATTAATTTTGGAACTTTCAACTTTCAGATACCTAAGGGGACTAGATTGAGGGGGGACTTCCAAGGATGCCATGACACTTACCATAGAGTCTTACTTCATCATCATGGGAGCTGGTTACCCATGCTATAGTCAGTCACCCCAAGACACCCCAGGAATGGATACAGAATTCAAACAGCCCAGGAGCTGGCAGGCACAGCCAGGCCTATTCCCTGGGAGATAGGAGGTGCCCCCTGCATCTAGCCCTCCTGCTTTCAGAGAGCCAGATATTCTTCCCAACAGCTGGGTGCTGCAGTATGCCAGTAGGGAGAGGATGACATAACTCTCCAGTGATTGCATGGTACACAGGAGTCTCAGAAGCAGCAATGGCTCTTTCCATTCATTTGTACCCATAAGACTGGGGTGGTATACCCACCATCTAGCTACATGCTAACACCAACCTCCAGAGATGAATGTGTCGAAGATGATCTGGGCTCCGTTGAAGAAATCACCAAACTGAGCCTCCCAGATGGGCAGTAACTTTGGGCTTTCGATGCTCATCCCGTATTCAAATCCCAGAACGGCCTCTTCCGACAGGGGGCTGTTGCTGACCTAATTCCAAAGACAAGAACCAGACACTGCATGCCAAGGGACACAAGACAGGAGCCACAGGGATAAAACTTCAAGTTGCTATACAAGTCTGGAAGTGAGGAGGGGTTGGGAGGGGCACTGGCTTTCATTCATCACTACATTCCTTGCAGAAAGATGTACTTACTGCTCAGTATTACGGATGCATTTGGGAAAAGTTGGGACAAAGAGCAATAAAGAAAAAGAGATTAGAATATGGGAATTACACATTTTCTTCGAGGATAAGAAAGATACTCAGATGCTCCACCTTTGGAGCTGAGAGTAAGTTTATGTTACTCAAGTTTTTAAAAAACTGTCATAAAACAAAGGTGGAAAGGTCATAAAATAAATGCCTACCTTAGTTTAGGGTCTATTATTTTAACATCATATTTGCAGGGTAAGTCAAAAGAACCATCATGTTATATTAAGATAAAAAAGCCAGAAAACAAAAATAATCCTGAGGAGGTTAAAGAAATAAGATGTTAAATGCCACATGACACTAGTAATGTGTTGCTTTTAATATCTTGATTTGGATGATTATATTAAGTGATGGAGGAGAATGTCGGGATAGCAAGCTGCTTTCAAAGGTAAGAAAAACTTTCTTTGTACTATATACCAAACATTTACAAATAATTTTGTGTTTATTTCAATTTTTTAGAAATATTTTTTTAAGTTGCATGTTTACAGAATATTTTTTGAAATAAAAAGAAATGAAGTACTGATACATGCTACAATATGGATGTACTTTGAAAACAGTATGCCAAGAGAAAAAAGCAAATTACAAAGGTCCCATCTTATCCCATTCTATTTACCTGGAACATCCAAAATAAGAATATTGATAGGAATGAAAAGAAGACTGCTCAGGGGTCACAGGGCTTGGGGGTTGGATGGACTGGGGAGTGACTACTCATGGGTCTGGGGTTTCTTGTTGAGGTGATGAAAATATTCTGAAATTAGACAGTGGTGATGGTTGTGCAACTCTGCAAATACATTAAAAACTGCATCACTGTATACACTGAAAGGTTGAATTTTAAGGGCTATAGCTCATAAAGCCTTTATTTTCAAAAATTCAGAGAAAATTATAGCTTTAATTATAACTACAAAAATTTGTGACATATAGTTAATAACAATGACACATACAAATTGATTATTTTTTAGCCTGGTGGGATTATGCATAATTCATCTTTTCAGATTATAATCTTATACTCATGTTTCAAAAGACGGCCGTATTTCTCAGATTGCAGTGTGTGTTGTAACAGGGCTTGGCGCAGCTACGCAACTTCCATCTCTGCTTGTCCTCATCCTGTCCTCTTCTTTCTCCCTGCCAAGGCTGACATATTCTTTCTGAACCCACCCCCGCTTTCTGCTGCTTCTGGGACCTGGCTCTATCATGCAACTCCTCCTTTCTGAATTTCTCCTCATTGGTCCCCCACCTCAGCATACAGTCAATCAAAAGCTTCAAAAGAAAACAAGAAATATTATTGAAAGGAACAGTTAATGTTTGTTTGATCAATCTTGCATAGCTATATCTGGTAATCTGAGCAACTACTTTGAAGATAATAATAAGTAATACAATAACCATTGTTGATTTCCTATCATTTTATTTTGAAATTCTGTATCATTTTTATAGTTTTTGTGTTGTTTTGGTTTTGTCTTTGTTTTTGTTATTTTGTTTTTGTTCTTTTCTCTTTAAAATAAAAAAAAAATTTAAAAAAAAAGAAAAGAAAACAAGAAACACTCATTCCCCTGACCTGGGCCCGCCTCAGGCCATTGCTTTTTTTCTCAGTTGAGCTTTCAGAAAGACTAACCTAGTCCACCTGCTTTTACCTTTGATTCCTGCTTACCCTTTAGTTGAGGACAGATGCTCCTCAACTTGTGAGGGGGCTGTGTCCCAATGGACCCAGAGTAAGTTGAAAATATTGTCAGTTACAACCCATTTATTACACCTCACCTACAAACAGCCTAGCTGAACAACACAGTGCACTGTGGAGTGTTGGTCATCTCCACTCCAAGCAAGTACTGTGCCCCTGATTAGAATCCATTACCTTAACATCCTGTGAACACATCAACAGCCAAGGAAAAGTCCAAAATTCAACATTTAAAGAGTGGTTTCTACTGAATATGTATCACTTCTATACCATAATAAAGTAGAAAAATTCTAAGTCAAACCAGCCTAACCCAGGCAATATCTGCACAATCTAGATTTTACTTGCAGTCACTCCATGGAAAGAGCTCAACATGAGGTCAACCCTCCACTACCTAAGTGCAGCATACATGTTATTCTTTCTCTTCAGTGACCTCTCCCTCCTTGGGTACCATGACCCAGTGGCTTCCATTTCCCCTCTTGCCTTTCAATACTCTCTTGTGAAATATTTTCCTTCTGCCTGCCCTTTTAAATGTTGTTTCTGCCAGGAACTTACCTTTGGTCTTTTCATTCTGCTCTCTCAGAGAGATTCTCCCACCCCTACAGTTTCAGACATTTCTATACACGGATGACTTCCAAATATATCTTAGGGCCAGAATCCAATAATATCCAGCTGTGCATATCTAGTTGCCTGACAGAAACATCTATGTCATTTGGCCATCTTTAAGTCCAACTTCCAAAACAGAATCCATCATTTTTCCTTATGAAAGCTGTTCTTTGTCCTTTATGATCTACTTGAGTGGGTATCACAATCATCTTCTGTCTGTCAGGGATACAACCTATAGCAGTCTTTCTTCTGTACTCCCTCTCCCTCCAACACTAAGTCTTATCATCAAATCTGGCTTCACCTGCCATCTGCACTCAGCAGCCCTAATTCAGACCCTCATGATTCCCTCATAGAACACTGAGGTGCATCCTTACCCACTGTCCTACTTTCTTATCCTTCACAGGCTTCCAGAGTATTGTCAGGGGCATACTTTCTAATGTGGTCTATGGCAAACCACCCTGAACTTGCCCGTTCTTGTCTATATGAACATCTGTCTACCTGTTCACAATTCCTCCATGGATCCTCTCACTGTGAATTCCAAACCTTTCACAACAGGGACAGTCCTATCTGGACCACTCCCTTTTTACTTCTGTGACTTCTGCAGATGATCTGAAGCCATCTGTAGTTCCCTAAGCATGTCACATTCTCTCACCCCACAGAATTTATGTGTTCTGTGTCCAACTGGAATATTTTCCCTGTATTTCTTATACTAGTGTCCTTTGATTCCCAGCTCAAATGTGGTTTCTGAAGCATTCCTTGAATTCCCCAAGTGGGTGCAGCTGCTCCCTTTCCTATGACTCTATTGTACTTTGTACACATACATAAACTTACACACCTTATCTTCTTGACCTATCAATGCATTTATTTACTCCTTTAAAAGTATTCAAGGTGGTTTTTAAATATACATGATATACAAAATCAGAGCAGACTTTAAACAGAGTGAAACAAGACAGATAAAGATCAAGACACAGAACAACAGCTGGGGAAAGGCTGTTGACTTACTCATCACTGAGCCTCTGGCCCTTGCTTGGACTCACTATTAGTAAGAGAATGCTAGTCACTTTCAGCATTCAGTACAGCTAGTGAAACCAAACCACTGCTCAGAAAAGTGTAACCACTTGCAATGCCATGATCAAATGGATTTCTTCGAGGGTCTTCACATAAACCCGAAAGTATCAGATCATAAATGAAAAAAATTTTTGTTGTGGTTTTTGCTTTTGCAGTGCTGGGGATTCAACTAATGGCCTTGTGTGTGCTAGGCAAGTACTTTACCACTGAGCTATACTCTCAGCCCAGAAATTATGGACATTTATTTTCCTACAAATGACTCAAGTTTATCCTTTATAGTAGAGTAGTACTCCACTGTGTATGAATAGTAAGAAAATGGACTTTCAGACCATAATATTAAGTGAAATAAATCACACACACAAGTTTAAATATCTTACAGTTTCTCTTATATGAAAACCCAAAATATAAAGTGTAAAATAAAAGATAAATAATAGGAAGTAGGGAAATTGATCTATTTCAAATGGAAAGGAGATCAAGAGATGGAGGAAGAAAGGAGGGAGGAAAAGAAAAGGGGATGAAAAAGAATGGAGATGTCTATGTACCAACTTGACACAAGGAATGTAATCATTATGTAATGCAAACATGTACTAATAAAAAAAGCTGAAAAAATACCAAGCACAGTGTTAAAAAAGAAATAGTGAACATTATATCATATGATCTAAGACATTTAATTGGAGCTTTTTTGTTTGTTTGTTTGTTTGTTTGAGACAGGATTTCACTATCCAGTTCAGCTTGGCCTTGAACTCATTTTGTAGCCCAGGTTGGCCTCAAACTTGCAGCGATAATCCTGCCTCAAAGTGCTGGGATTACAGGTGTGTGCCAACTCAACTGGTCTAATTGGAGCTTTTAAAGTAGCGTGCTAATCTTCAACTGTGATTCTAAATATTAAATCATAATTCAATGAAAACATCATTTAAGGTGGGGAGGATACAAGACATTTCACTGTCTCTCTAGCTCATCAATCTGAGGTAGGTTTTTAGACTCACCTAAAAAAAAGATGAGCTGCAGGTCCTTCAAGTAATCTTCCTGGAATACTGCTTTTGCCAAGCATGTTTCTTAGAAAATACCAGTAAACTCAAGATTATATTATCAAATGGCTATAGTAGAAAAGAAGGTGCAATGCCATTAAATTTACTTTAAATAATAACTTATTTTTGTAGATATCATGTGCTGAGTTCTGCACTAATTGTTGGAGAAACAAAAATAAAGAGATTCAACTGCTGCCCTTAAGATGCTGATGAGAACCGCAGAGACTGGTAGACAGAGTCGCCCACAAAGCCTTAGGGAATCAGGTTACCACCAGGAAGTGCTGTTTGTTTGTTTGTTTGTTTGAAGTAAGCAAAGAATACTAGCGTACTATCCACATTTTTGACTAACTTTACAATATGCAGACTATAATGTCATTCTGAGTCAACAAAATGCACATCCATTTGACATTTACAGGCATGCTGATATGCACCCTGATCAAAATAGCTCCAGTCTACTCTCTAGTCTGTTACTTCCATTCCAAATTTACAGTTCAACATCATCTACCCACTCGGCACCCCTTTATTTCAAAAAATACTGAACTCAAAGTTTCCAATATCTGTTTTTGGTTTCTTGTGCAGTAAGGGGTGCCTGGATTTGACACTGGATATGGAAACATCCTACCTCCAGAAACCCCTTCTGATTAGGGTCCATGTGGTTCAGAGGGATGTAGGCATCATCGGTCTTTTGGCAAACCACCATTGCATGCCGTTGACTGAAAGTCCCACGGCCAACATCTTGGCCACTCAGCCGGACGTTAAAACCTTAAGCAGCAAGCAAGAAAAGAAATCCAGATCCCTGTGAATAATCCAACTCATAATAAGGAATGGTTATACTGAATTTATTTTTTTGAGACACGATTTCCCTTATCCTTGGAATTTCCTTAGGGTAATAGATTCTCCTTATTAAAACAGTCCTTTCTTATATCCAAAAGTCTACAATCAAGGCAAAATTGTATAGGAATGGAGAGTCGTTACTTGCCCTATAATTTTTGGAGAAAATATCTTCCTAATACGTCTTACACTAAACCCAGTGTTTCCGAGACGTAACTGCTCCAACAGTCTACACTCTGTGATGAATGTTGTTATGTGACTCACACTGATTAAGTCATGTTATCACGGGATGTGTTTCAGGACTTATCTAGCCAATGAAAACAAGAGGAAGAAAGTAGCTGTAACTCAGAAAATCATAGAAATCACACATAACCATCACCATTTTAGTGCATTCTCTACCAGCTGTAAGGCAAAACAGGAATACTTTACCTTGAGCAAGTAAAGAGCCCAAGGCAAGGGCTTCTGCCGTGGCCCAGTCTAAATTTGTCCCGCTCATCACTTTCTCCATTCTGGACTGTAGAGTAGAAGGGAGGAGAAAATAAACTTTTTAAGATCCCATATCCTTTTTCACACTGAGTTCAAAAAAATTTAATGTAACTATGGTAAGAATCAATAGCATCAGTTTGAATTGAAACAGAGTATGGGAGGATACAATACAGCATGATAGCAACTACACACAGTGTAAAATAGGCAAAGCCAACATACACTTCACCTTAGTGGTCACCTTTGTGGAGCTAAGAGAAGGAGTCAGGAGGGTACTGCAAACTTCGAGTGTAATATCTGATTTCTTAAGCTAGGTGGTGAGCATACAGCATTTTACAATATTTCTACAATTCAGAGGGTAGAGCTCCTTTATCCAAGCTGAAAAAGATAAACATGTTTAACTCTCTTCTCTTCTGAGTTTAGCATTGGAAGTGCCCTGTTCCAGAAAACCTATTAAGTTCCAGGCCAACCAGGACAGTTTATCATCCTAAGGTTAACAGAAGATGATACATAAAACTTCCCCTGAAGTTACACCACCTCACCTGAACATACATCTTGAGAAGGTTGCTGTGCATCTGCAGCTCCCCAGGTACCTCCACAGACCTGGCGCCAATGAAGCGCAGGAGGTCAAGGGGCACACCTGTGTTCCAGGTGGTGACACGTGCTGCTGGCTGGGCCAGGCCCTTCCAGTGGGCCTGCAGGGTGGTGGCTGGGGGTCTGTAGTGGGCTGTGTTGGTCAAATGGTCATTTAACTTGGCATAGTAGGAGGCTTTTATTTGAGACACTTCCTCTTGGGTCATGAGTCCACTGGCAATGAGGTGTTCTGCATATGTGTCTGGGATGCTCTTTCGGGCTCTGTTCAAGAGAAGGGGAGAAAAATCAGCCTAATCTGTGACATCTAAGTGAGACAGAGACAGTCACTGTCAAGGGCAATGTAGGATGTTATCAGTTAAAAGGCACTTAGGAAATGTTCTGGAACAAATATCAGTTGTGGCTACACAATATCATGACTGTACTAAACACCACTGAATTATTCACTTTAAACTAATGTGGTAAAATTTACATTACATGACTTTCACCTCAATAAATTAACAAAATAAATAAATAAACAAAGGCACTCAGGAGTCTTAGCTCCTTCTAGGCGAACAAGAGAAAATAAATTTACTGTTGTAAGTTTTTTACTACACTCAGGTAAAAATAGTGGAGTTTTTCTATGAATTGGTAAATTGTGGAGAGCTATTTATAAGACTTATCCACCTTATCTGTCCATCGAGAACTTCCTTTATTTCAAAAAATACCGAGCCTTAAGGTGCCACCATCAGTTTCAGGTTCTTTACTAGTCCTTTAACTATAATAATCAGCACGTGTTTGAAATATTGCAGCACGATTGTGCCTTTTCACATTTGTATGATCCTTTAAATATAAAATTTGTTAACAGTCTATTATATTTAATCCAGATAAAAGTGAGAAGTTGGATGTTTTCAAAGGAGACCTGAGGCACCTAGTCATTCAACTGCTGAGCTCAGAGCTAAGCCAGAATCCAGCTTCTGGTCCTCCTGAGCAGTGCTCTTTTGCTGCCTATGAGCAGGAAGGCCTGCTGAATGCCACCACGCTTATTCCTCTGCATTAACTTATAGTCTAAAAGGAATTAGAGTGTGTATATGTGGAGGGGTCCGCTTTACTTTCTAGAATCTAGGAAAGGAAATGCCAAAGTTACACATCCCTCTCTGCCACATTAACCATCGGCATCAGTGCTGTCCAACAAAAATAAAATGTGACCCATATGTGTAATTCTAAATTTTCTAGCAGTCACATTAGAAACAGTAAAGAGAAACACGTAGATTTAATCTTAGTAGTTTATTTTAAGTCAATATATCCAAAATACTGTCACTTCAAAATCTAATCAATATAGAAATTAAGGTATTTTTCATTTTTATTTCATCTTTTAAGTCTTTGGAATCTGGTGTGTGTATCTGCAGCACATTTCCATCAGGACTGGCCACATCTCAGGTGTTCAGTGGCCTGTTAATGTCTAGCAGCTTCTTTACTGCATAGAACAGTTCTAAACAGTCATTAAAATTTCTTGTGTTACTTCCTACTAGGCACAAAGCAAGTCCACATTTATGGTAGGGAGAAGTGAACTTAAAGATCCTGTTCTTGACCCTTAGTCTTGGTTACTTGTCTATCCTTGCTGAGACAAAATACCAGACACCCAAAATTAAAGAAGGAAAGGTTTATTTAGCTCACAGTTTGTAGAGGTTTCAGTCCATAATCAGCTGGCTCCAAGGCAGGGTGGTGTGGCACAGGGGCAACAATTCAAGGCAGAAGAAGACAGTAAAAGTAACATGAGCAAAAGAGGGGAGAGCAAGCCCCTTTTCCTCCCTTGCATTGTGTGCTGCAGCCTGCCCACACCCATCTCCATGCCCTCTTCTTCCACAAGCACAGGATGTTTATACAGTATGGACCCTGGTGCCCTGCTGAATCATTTAGTTGAACTTTAAACTTTTCAAGTTGACACAATGAACAACATCCTAGAGCAGGAAGGGCATGTCCTTTTCACCCCAGGATGTAGAACTGCTGGGTTACTTAGTTAAGCTTCTAGACTTCTCAGTTCTCAAGCTGACACACTGTATTAGCCATAACACCCTTCCAATGCACCTCACTGGGCAGCTAGATTTGCCTAAGTCTTCTTATCTCAGTCTTCCTATCTGCTCATTAAGTTGTTCTCTATTCAATGGGGAAATACTGAGATTTTGAAGAATACTGAGAACTCCATTGAGATCCACAGGTGAAAATTATGCTTTAAATCTGGGGTGTCCCCCAAAGTCTCATGTATTTGGAAGGAAACTGGATCATGGGCCAATGGATTAGTCCACTGAGGAGTTCATAATTGAGGTGCTATAGGAGGGAGGACTTGGTTGGAGGCAGGTCACTGGGGTGTGACCTGGAAAGGTGTATCTCACTCCCTAGCTCCTCCTTTCTCTGTCTGCTTCCTAGACACCATAGCATGAGCAGCTCTCCTCTGCCAGACACTTTCACCATGCTCTTCCTGCCTTACAGCCAGACTGACATGAACTGAAAGCAGTGAGCCAAAATACCCACCCCCTTAAGTTCTGGGTGTCAAGTATTTTTCCCAACAGAGAAGAAAGTGACTAAGACAGATTTGGCACTGGGCCTGGGGTTATTGCTAGACTATACCTAACCATGTGTTTCAGAAGCCTTAGGAACTGGTTCATAGGAGAAATTTGGAGACGCTGGCCAGAGAAGCCCTAAAACACTGTAAACTAAGCTTGATGGGAGATTCTGCTCAGAGCTCAGGAGACCAGAATGTTAACAGAAAATGGTGTAAAGACCAGGTTCAGGAGATTTAGGTTAGGAAGAACTCCATTGGCAGCTGAACTCTAGGCTATGTTTGTTATGCTCTAGCACAAAATTTATCTACGTTTTGCTCCTGTCCTGAGACTTTGTAGGAGACTGAGATTAGGGGCAATGGACTAATTAATTTGGTGTAGAAAGCCTCAAGGCAGCCCACCCTTAAGGCTGTAGCATGGGTATTACTTCTTCCAGCAAGGTCTATAGTGAGAATCAGGACCAAAAAGCCCATTTAAAATTTTTAGTTTTGCAAGACAAGAAGGGCCTGCAAAGTTGGACTAAAGGAGAGCACAGTTGTTAAAATGATTAGCATTAAATATTAGCCAAGTCCTTTACATAAAGACAGTATAAAAGATGACTTGAATACATCTCAGAAATTGGCCAGATCCACTCTTTGCAGGCTCAAAGGTACAGAAGTGAAAGACTTGGCTTTGAGAAGAGAGCATAGGGAATAGGTTTCCCAAGATTCAGTTCACAGGGCTCACCTATCTGGGGCTTCTCTTGAAGCCATGACCCAAGGGGGCCTGGATACTTTGCAAACTGGAAGCAGACTTTGTTATCCTCCTCAGGGTTTTGGTTTTATAAGCATGCAGAATGCCAGAGTTGTTGGGTCAGGAAGGCTTCCACTCAGATTTCAGAAGAAGGCTGGGGAGGTTAGGGAATGTGTGCTTGAAAGGACAGTGTATGACATATGAGTGAAGTTCAGAGGCAGTGGAGACCTTAGGTTGGAGAAGCCAGGGATGTGGAACATCTGAGGAAAGCCATAGGCAGCAAGAAAACTACCCCAAGAGACAGGCCATGAAGGCTACAAGCACCAGCAAAATCAGAGGGCTGGGGCTATCTAAGCCCTCATAAGTGGTAGGTCATCTCAGGGCCAGAGGTGCTGGACCTGAAGCTATGGAATTTACTGTTTGCCTTGCTGGGTTTTAGTCTTGCTTTGGTCTGGTTCCCTTCTATTTCCTTATTCTTCCCTTTTGTATTGGGAATGTTTATTTTATGTCATTGTGTGTAAGCAGGCTCATGCCTTACTTTACACCAAGTCTCAGGGAAGACTTTGGGCTTGGACTTTTCAGTAATGCTAGAACTGTTAAAACTTTGGCTACACTTAGAGGTAGACTAAATGTATTTTGCTTAAAGAAATGGACAGGAATTTTTTGAGGACCAGTGCCAGAATGTTATGATTTAGATCTGAGTACCCTCCAAATACTTCATGTTTTGAAAGGTGATTGGATCAAAGTAACAGTATATTTAACATTGACTTGTCATTTCGAGGAAGAGCCTGGTTAGAAGTGGTCACTGGGGGTGAGTCCTGAAAGGATGTGTCTCCCTCTCTGGCTCCTCCCCTCATCTCTCTTCTTCCTGGCTAACATGGCATGAGCAGTTTTCCTCTGCCAGGCACTTCCACAATGCCATTCTTGCTTTGGAGCCAGCTGATCATGGACTGAAAACATTGAGCCCAAATAAACCTCCGTCCCTTTAAACTGTGAGTGTCATGTGTCTTGTCCCATCGAAGAGAAAGTGATGAAGACAGTTAACATTCCCATTTGCCCAGGACTGTCCCTGTTTGGCACTACAAGTCCCATGTCCTAAACAAACCAAAGCAGTTGTTCATCCTACCTATTAAAAAATAATAGGGCTGAAGCTGTAACTCAGAGATATATCACTTGCCTAGCATGCACAAGTCCTGGGTTCCAGCTCCAGCACCAAAATAAATTGTGTGTGTGTGTGTGTGTGTGTGTGTGTGTGTGTGTGTACAACAGTGTACGAGCTGTAAGGTTGGAGGATATATTAACAAAGGTTTATGATTGTACCTGATGATTCTGTACATGACCGGGTTTGTGAAGAAAGGCTCATCCAGCTCATTGTGGCCCCACTGCCTGTAGCATAGCAAGTCAACGATCACATCCTTGCGGAACTGGCGCTGATATTCAAAAGCCAGCCGTGTGGCCTGGACTACTTCCTCTGGCCTATCCCCATTAACATGGATGATGGCACAGCCCACAACCTTCCCTGAACAGGGGGAGACAGATATAAAGCCAATCAGTTAACCCAAAATTAGATTAGCTTTCCCCGAAGACCTACCACTTATGAGGGAAGATATCCCATGTCCTAAAGACCATTTGCCTTGGTTGTTAACACCCCAAGATTTGGGGTCAAAGTGACAAGTCCCAGTTCTGTCACTTATTGTGTGACTTTGGTAAACTTAAGACACTCAGTCTAATCCTACCTTGACCAATAGTCTCAAGATTATATGAGTCAATGGAAAAAAAGTATTAATGCTTTACAATGCCTGGCACATACTAGTTAACATTTACTTTCTTATTGTTATTATTATCTTTCTTCCTGAGATAAAAGAGCATTAAAAGATGCATCCTAGAAAAAGGTTTTCTTCAAAGAGAAGTTCTAGAATGGATTCCTACTCTCTCTCTCAGATGAACCACAAAGAATTCACACAGACTACCCAAGAAAGAAACCATTCCATGTTCTGGATATAAAAAGAGAGTAGTTCCTAACACCTAACATTTCTTTTAACTCCCTGTAATTCTGTAAAGTAGGAACAGGTAGTAAATATCCTACCTTTCTTTTACAACTGCTAATTTCAATACATTAAAACAAATTGAGTTCAATTCTTCACATCTTGTTTCTAACCAGGCTATCTCACCAAATTTAGTGGTCAAACGTATCCTTTTGACTCACACCTTGGGTTCTCCAACTTTAAATGTTCTAAAGGTAACTATTCCAGTGTTGTACTAATTGTGTTGCTCTCTGATTTCTCCCAGATCCTTCGACTGGCTACTTAAGCATTTAAGACTGAATGCTCTTAGCTCCATCCTTTTTCTCTTTCTTTTCTTTAAAGAGAAATGCTGATTTTAATTAAACATAATAAGGTAAACTCTAAGCATCCATCACTGTTCAGCCTAAAAATTATTAAAAACTGTTGAAACAAGGCACAGTACTTTTCCTCTACTTATTTCATGGCACCAGTTACCTCCCCACCAAAATATTTAATGAAAATGTTGAAACATAAAAATCAAAGTGTAAGATTTTTTTGTTTTGTTTTGTTTTTCTCCGGTACCGGGAGCTGAACTCACAACCTTGCGCTTTGCCGCTGAGCTAAATCCCCAGCCCCTGAGATTTTTTTAAAAGCCTCACAAACTTGTCAAAAACTGTTCCTTATTCTATGAAATAGCACCAGTACACAAGAGTAGAAAGGTATTGAAAACCATCAAGACAGCATTTCTGAAATGCAGCTTCTCTGACCTCCTGTCCCCTAAGGAAAAAAAAAATGTAATATGGAAAGAAAAAGGATTTTAAGATCTCCGGAAGAAGGGTGGAGCTTTTATTGCCATTTCTTAATGAGGAGAACATGTGAGAAATGTGCTTCTGCCCCTGGTTGTTAGGACTTCTTGAGTCTAAAAAAACGATGAGGAATTGGGATGTCAGACTTCTCATCTGGGGAGCTGTGCCAGTACAGAGGGACATCTTTGGAAGAGGGTGGAGGCTTCTCGTCCAAGATCCCTCCCTCCTTCATGTGGCTCACATAGGGAAGAGGAAGATAGGTGTTGAGAAGTCAACTTGTTCATATAATATATGGGAACTTATGTTATATAACTCAGCCACCCCTTTCTGAGTTCCTTAGAATGTTCTATTACAGCTAGAAAGAAGGATTTTGCTAAGAATGGCCCTGCTCTATAGCACTCAGAGAAGTGATGCCTAAGATGCCAAAACCACAGTGCCAACAACTCTCCAAGGCTTGAGTTAATACAGCAAAATCACCCATCCTTCTTTTATTTCTTTGGATTTAAAAACTACTCTTAGGGAGATACAGCTCAGTAGTAGAGAGCTTGCATAACAGGCACCAGGCCCTGGGCTCCATCCTCAGCACACAAACTAACTAACTAAATAACTAAATAAACACCCTTCAATGTCAGACTTCAAAGAAATGTTAACTTCACTTGCAACTATTGATGACTGGTGATCATACCTGACCCAAAATTACACATGGAATAACCAGTGAGACTCACTGTTTGAATGAACTAGAAGTTTCTCTAGGAATTTCTTGTTGGATCCAGGAACATCAGCCCCCCTGTTACATACCAATATCACTACAGTACAAAGAAGACCTTCCTCTTTCTGCTGGAGTGGTGTAGCCCAGCTGGTTATTGACAATCAAATGGATGCTCCCACCAATTCTGAAATGTGGGAGATTAGAGAGCGTAAATGTTTCAAGAACAATCCCTTGACCACAGAAAGAAGCATCACCATGAACCTAAAATATGAGTAAGGAGAGAAAAAGAAACATATGGGATTAAGAAGTTTAGGCTTTCAGATTAGCATAAACTGTTTTAAGATACTACGAGGAATACAAATCACCATCCTCTCCCTAACTCCCTTGACTTCCTAAAGGTACTTAGGAAGATCCTAGAATGGTTAAGCTTATCTCAAAAAAGGGTCTGAGGAAAAAGCAAATATTATAAGAGATGTCTAAAATGTGCTGTCTTTCCAGAACATACAAAGTCTGCAATTTAGAAAATCACCACAAAATCCTGTAGAAAAAATCCTGTAGATAAAATCCTGTAAAGGAGGGGTGTTTCTTTTCCCCTATACATCTAAAACATATAAAAAGGGCATCATAGGTCTTACAAGACCATAGAAGAAAAGATGAGCTCTATTGACTTTATGCTAAAGGGGATTCTTATGTACAGCTAAAATGCTGAACTGAATAAAAATGATCTGTTCTCTCTAAGGTGAGGTTACCACTGGTTCTAAGAATAACAGAAGTGAAAGACCAAATGTGAATGAAGAAATAATTCCTGGAAGTAGATTTTTTAAAAATGCCACAGAAAATGTCCTAAGCAATGTCATTTTTATAGAAGTGGTGTTTTTGCTTAAGTAATGAAGTACTCCTTTACCTTAGTGAAATTCCAAGCCACACCTTCCCAATCCGTTATGTGGCATGTTAGAGTGTCAATACTTACTAAAAACATGCCTTGTATTACCTTCCATTAATCTACTCAGCACCCAGCTGAGGGACCCTCTTTACAATCAAGGAAACTAAGCTTCAAAAAGAGCATACCTTTCACATGGCTTGGACTACATTCTTCTATGATATGTTCATTTTTCCTACTGTTTTTTCCTATCCATCCCTCCAAGCCTTTCTCTTGGGTTAAGGAACTTAAATACATATGTTCTTGTTGAATTCTCTGAATATTATAAGGAATATAATACATTTCAATTTTACTGAAGCTCAAGAACCTAAGTAACAGCCAAGTGTGCCATACTAGGAGATGCAAAGGCAGGATTCCAGAGCCTTTATCTTTTCTACAGTGTGAAGTCTAACAGTCAGTCTAATGCAGGGTCAAAAGTTCCTGATAATAAGAATACTCCTCACTCTTGGGTCTTTGCTATGAGATATCTTACGGAGCAATGGCAGAGAGCAGAACAGCAAGGAAGGGAGATGTTTGCCTCTTCTGCATCTTTGTCTCTTCTGCATCTTTCCAGAAATTCTACACCAAAGCTTGAATCACCCGATAAGAACACAGTATCTATTACCAACTAGTATGATTTGATCCTGGTAGGATTTGTGATGCTAAAGCATGTATATATCATCTGGTGAATTTATTGTATTTCTTAAATCAAGAGAGACCACTATGCCATGGTGAGGAAGCTTTGTGAGGGTAAAGGTCCTACACAAACACTGGGTGAACTAGAAATGAGTGAGACAAAGGAAACAGTGGTGGGACATGTGGGACAATGTTGACAGGGATCACAACTGAGAATTCATTTTTAGCAGGGCCAGGACCAAGATAAACCCATGGCAGGCAGAAAAAGTAGCACTGGAAATCTAACCACCATTATTTCACAGGCTCCAAATTGAGAGTCCTCAAAAGACATGAGAATTGCGCAAGGAAAGAGACAGACAGCTGGGCCAAACATTTTGGAAACACAAAGTAGACAAAGGAAGGCAGTTAATTTCACATCGTCTTAAAGAAAATGCATCTTCACCTCTTATGTCAAAAGTCATCCTTAAGATCTGCTTAATGCACTAGGTAAATATGAATGAGTTCTACTTAGACATATCATATCATATTCAAATCCAATTCTGTCCATCCTCAACTCTTTGTGGAAAGTTCCTGGCCCATGAAAAGTTAACATGACTCAGGTTATATGGCTATTTATATACATAGTAGAATATTCTAGATGGGTGTAGTTTGAAGACTCCATCACTGATATTCAGGATTATTTCCTAGTAGTTAAACGTTCATATTTAAATCAATACTCACAGAAGAAAACTCACAACCCAAACCTCTGAGAGATACCTATCATGTTATCAAAAAACTGGGAGGAGGTTAAGGTGAAGAAAGTGACACTAATAATCTGCATTGCTTGCCTTAACATCAAAGGCCTTCATTTTATTAAAAACTTTTTTCAGTGCTGGGGATCAAGCCCAGAGCCTCAAGTGTGCTGAGCAAGTGTTCTACCACTGAGCTAGCTCTCCAGCCTTAAAACTTTTCATTTTAAACCAAAACAAATCCAGTAAATCCATGCATTTATAGACTTGTTCCATGTATGTATACAGTACAAATTCCTGGGTAGCCACAGTTTCAAAGAAGTAGCCACATGAGTTCTTTTATTTATTTATTTCTTAGCTACCAATAAAAGTTGTATCATCTCATCTGGGAGGCACAATAATTAGCCCTTAGGAGGAAAAATGAAGCTGGCTTCCTTTCATTCTGCCTTCCCTCTCCCACTTCCCGTCTCCTTTCTCTGTCCCCCCTTTTCCTCCCCTTGTCCTTTGCTGAATATCTGCTATCTATTTTCATCTTTGTAGAGTTCTTTAAGCTGTGCCTAGCACTGCACACACTGGTCAGTATAGGAGAGTAGACCTCAGGAATGTATTCT